GCGGGGCTTGAGCAAAAAGCAATGCACCGCTAGCCTAGTCTACCATTGAGACAGCGCCACCTCGGCGCTCGTCGTTGGGGATGAACAACCACAACGTGAGCACAGGCGCTCCTAAGTGACAGCGTCACCTGGTCGATTTCGACCAAGTCGACGCTGCCCCAGCACGGAATGCAGCACCGAGCTGGTGTTACCTCCACGGATGAGCTGGTGAACCAAGCCACTCCGGACATGGAGGTCATCGCCAGTTGGTGTGAAGAACATCCCGTAAGGAGCCAATGAGAAGTTTATTTTACCAACGCCGCCCACACGCCACCTCCTCCCAAACCGCCGCAGCGCGGAAACTACAGCGCTGCTGCCCAAGCAGCAGCCAAACCAGCATCCATAACTGCCGCAGACGACTCCGGAATGCTTGCCGGTATCCCGGAAGGCGTGATCTGTGCCTTCGCGCCTCAATATAGAAGGCTTTTGACCTACTGGGATCGTTCCGAAGCCGGAGCGGGAAGCAATCCGCAACTGGCGCCCGGCAGCGAGCTCCTCGCTGGGATGAACGCGGTCTGCAGGCACCCACACGGCCCGTGGGGCAGCGCCATCTCTCCTGATCGCACACCTGTGAGGCAGCACTCGGTGCGCGAGCGCGTCTACTCTTTCGGCAGCGCTCTCGCACCCGCTGCCTCTTCTATCTCCTCTCCGGGAAGCGACGCCGTAGCGACGCGGCCACACAGAGCAGCACTGAGCCAAGGGCGCCCCTGGTGGCGCTACACATGGAGCGGCTACTAGCTGCCCTTGTGGAGACGAAATCAACCCGTCCCCCAGCGAGCTGCCGGCTTGGTCAGCGATGCTTCGCCAGGTTTGGCAGGTTGCGTTCACCACCGCCCAGTATCCTCCAACTCTCCGCTGACTGAGACGGCAACATTGCGGCGCCTGACAGCCGTAGAGCAAAGCCACAGGCGCGCGAGCTCCGGATCAGCGCCGGCCGCCCGACCCGGGAAACGCGGCGGCCACCTCGCCGCACCGTCTCCCCACCGGCAAAGCGCCCTTGCCAGCGCGAAGGCTCTCGGAGCCGGAGGAAATGCTGCGAGAGTGCAAAGCCCAACAGCGCCTCCAGCGGGCGAGAAAGCGGAAGAGCGAAAACGCGCGGAAGGACGACGAGAGGGCCAAATCAGGCTCCCGACGCGCCCGCTACGCTACCAGCTCCACCACAGGAACAAGGAAGCTCCGTCGGTGCGTGAGTGCGCAACAGATTCTGGGTGTCGGCGAATCCTCGCCACTACCTTCTAGGTGACAAGCAATCTGACGACTGCAACTCGTCTCCGGTAGCCAGCGCAGTCGGCCGCAGGCCGAAAACACTGGTGGGAACTCCGCGCAGCAGTTCGTCCGCGACTGCTCCAGGTGGACGCCTCACGTCCACCGGCCGCTTCACGGCCACCAAAGAGACGACGTACAAATACGTCTGAGCATCACCTCAACCAAGTTCTTAAAGCACGGCAGAGAACTTGGGCCAGAACGGGGTACAAGGCGACCATTGCGAAGTCACCAGCCGAATGGACGACCAGTGTTATGAAATACAACACCTTTGACCGTGTAGCATACGTGAGGCGGAGCGATACGCTCGCAGCGAAAAGATATTTTGTTATTCGCACCCGCCTCGTCCGAGAACTCTGAAAGCCCTCAAGTATTTGTCAGAGGGCTACGCAAAGGCTACACCGCTGAGAACGTGGAAAACGACTGAAGAAGCTCGGCTAGCTCTCAAAGCAGTAAGACAAATCTGCCTGCTGAAGGAAATCTTGGTCGCCAGAAACCACGATTCCGGTGTAGCCAATGGTGCAACAGGCACCGAAACGCGGCGGGTGGAAGTGCCCACAGGAACGTTCGCTTGCACCCTCAGTGACAGCGCCGGTCGCGTAATATCTACCTCTTAAACAAATAATCTTTCGCAATCGAGGTCCAAAGGAAAAGTGGGCCAGACCTCGATTTTGCATGCGATGCTGGATGGGCCACATCGTCGTAATTGCGAGTACGATGTGCGCTGTCGCCTCTGCACGGGCGAGGGTACACCTGCAGGAGACGACAAACGCGGAACGGCGCATTGCCCAAAACGCGGAAATTTTAATTTAAAGCCAGTCTGCTCAATTGTAAGCGCATACGCTGCATCCTTCACAGGATGCAGCCATTGCACGTTGCACCGCGTCCGTCAGACGCGCGTGCAATAGGAACCAAGGGACCCTCAGGCCAAGTAGTTCCTAATAGAAATCGGCGCTCGGTCGGCACCTAGCGGCGGGCCGGCCTGGAACGAGGTCGCGCAGCGCCTCGGCGCAGCCCCCCCCCCCCCGAGGCAACGCACCACCTCCGGGGCGGCGGGAGCGCGGCCCATTGCACCCGAGCTGCCGCCAAACGGTCACTAAGAGCCAGTTTAGCGATGTTTGAGCGAATCCTAAAATGATACCCGACAATGTCTAGACAAAATCAGAACGAGACAAGCGAATAGCACCTCTCGCGCTTGCACTTGGAACGCGCGAAGTGCAACTTCAAAGCCCAGCAAATTGAACTTTTGCGAACTGCAACTCGATAATCTTGGCTTTACAAGAAACGTGGCTCAGTGATGAACACGAATTCAAACTCCGGGAATTTACTGTTTATCGCCGAGACCGCGCTGGCAGGCCAGGCGGCGGAGTAGCAATCGCGTTGCGCCGAGAACTTCCGCAGCTTGAAGCCGAAATCCCTGCTATTGTTCTGGCGTCTCTAGAGGCGGTCGGGGCGTACGTCTGGGTAGAAAACGGCCGACTACTAGTCGTATCCGTCTACTGCCCAGAACAAACCTTAGATCCGCCTAGAATTGATCCGCTTCTCGCACTAAATTCCAAAGTTATCCTTCTGGGTGACTTTAACGCCAGACATAGAACTTGCGGCGGCCTCGGAGCAAACAGAAATGGCAACAAAATTGCCAATCTTGTTGCGACAAGGCGGGGCGTAGAGATCTGCGCACCGAATAGCCCCACGCATTTCCCGGAAGTACGAAACAGGAACCCGGGCGTTATTGATTTTATGATTGTGAAAGGCGTTGAGTGTGTGGTTCCCCGCTCAATTGCCGTACTGGATTCCGATCATAACCCAGTAACATCATTTAGCAGTTTAGTGTATCTAGCATTTTAATGTGCTTAACAATTAAGTGTATTCAACATTTTAGTGTTTTCAGAATTTTTGTCTGTACAGCAGTATTTAGCAATTTATGTATTCAGCATTATAGTGAATTTAGCACTTCATATATCCAGCATTTTAGTTTTTTCGGCAGTAGTGTTATCAGCAATTTAGTGTATATAGGAGTTCAGTGTATTGTTAAAATTGGTGCATTTTACAGTTAAATGTAATTTGAACTTTTGTGTATTTTCCACATTAGTGTATTTCGCCTGTTAGTGTACTTCCAACTTTACTGTATTTTGCGAAATAGTGTATTTCGTATTTTGTTGTATTTCGTTTTTTAATGTTTTTCGCATTTAGGTGTTTTCGAAATTCAGTGTTTTTTGCAGATTAGTATTTATTGCATATTACGGTTATTCGCTTTTTAGTGTCATCCGCACTGGAGTTTATTTCACACGTTAATGTATTTTCCACTTTATTATATTTTGCATTTTAGTTTCTTTCGCATTATTGTGTTCTTCAGGTTTTTGGTTTTTTTCACAATGAAAGTTTAGTATTTATCTTTTTAGTGTTTTTGATTTGTAGTATTTTCCGCATTTTGTGTATTTAGCTAATTAGTGTATTATGCCGTTTAGTGTATTTAGCAGATAAGTTTATTCAGCATTTTAGTGTATACAGTAGTTTGGTGTATTGAGCAGTTTAGTGTATTTAGCAGTGTAATTATTAGCAGTTGTGTTGGCATTTTATGATGTCAGCATTTTACTGCATTCAGCATTTTAGTATTCAGCATAAGCATTTTAGTGTATTCAGCATAATAGAATATTCTGCATTTTATAAATATTTACTTTTTTATTTATTCAGCAGTAAACTGCTTAATACACTAAACTGCTAAACTCACTTAACTGCAAAAAACACAAAACTGCGAAACAGTACATTTCGAGACACACTAAACTGCAAAACAGTAAATTTCGAGACACTCTAAACTGCAAAACATGCTGTAGTGTAAATTACACATTACTGCGAAAAACATGTGCAAAGTACACTAAAATGCGAAATACACTAAAATTCGGTAGACACTCGAAACACCAAAGTGCAATAAACACTAAAATGCGAAATACACTAAAATGACACTCTTAATATTTGTGTTATTCATCAGAACGTAAAGCTTAAGCTTGATGCTCTGAAGTTTTAACAACATTCGAACTCAAGTATGTCTTCCTAAAGAAAATGCTCACGTATATAACAGTATGCCATCCCCCCCCCCCCCAAACTTTTTGCTTTTTCAGTGAGCAATACGATAAAGTCTGGTACATTTTTTTTTTTTTGAAAATTTAGTAATTTTAGTGCAATTTAAAAAAATAGCAAAATCAAGGTTTTCTCAATAACGGCTCCAAATTGTTTCTTTTAACTTTTGGTGGGGATAGTGCTAAATATACTCTCAGATGATATAAACATCATTTTGCTTTATTCTTTTGTTTTTTCAAAAAATACAAAAATGTATATTTTTGACTTCTCTCAAGTCATTAATATTTATATTAACGATATCTTAAGATCATTTGAAGCACATGTACTCATAAATATAATGATGTCCTATAAAGGTTCTCAAAACCTCAAGTTTTCTGTGAAAATGAGCTCAAAATTCCACATTTTTTTCTTCAAACTGTTCTTGGATTGCTAATTGCCCTCTTTGAGACGGGATAAAATTCATTTTGCTGTATAATGCTTTTTTTCAAAAAGTACTCAAATATAATCTTTTTGACATATCTCACTCCTTTAATATGCACATTTTCGTCAATTTGAAAAACACTATTGCATTTGTGAAATTACAAACAAAATGTGCTTTGGGAGGCGATAGATGGCAGCTGGTAAGAGTATGTGAAAAATAACTAACTCAGACCAAAGAAAATTGAACACTAATACAAGGAAATCTGAACTATTCTGTGGCACTAGTTAGTTTTTCGCCTTTTATCTTCAAAACAATGGTTATTTAAAAAATTAAAGTAGATAAAATTTCCTACAAACTGTACCACTTTACCTTTAAATTTCTGAAAAATGGTTTAGGCACTAGAGCACGCAGAAAAGTGAATACTTTTTGGGACTTTGGCTTGTCAGAGAATATCTTTTCCAGCCATCCTATATCGCGGCTGCCCACTAGTTTCACTTTACCTTGCTTGATAACTATTTTAAACAAATAGGCATTGTTATAGTTATTAACGACTGACAGCCATTTAAATTACCTTTTCATTCCTCTGTTGGGTTGCATATGAAGATATATTAATAGGACAGCAATATGAAGTAATCTCAAGGAAAAAATTGTGTAACCTATTTCCTTAATACAGGAGTTGAATGGATGAAAATGAAATTTTTTTTTTCTTCTGGTTGAACTTCAAATTTTTAACATTCATTTCTCTGTGACATTGCCAATCTTGACAGATATGTACCAAAAAACACACAAATACAGAAATACAGAATAATGTTTACATGTACACACATTACAAAATTATATCCATAATACGCATTAACACAATAATATACAAATAATTATAACATGAATCACCAATATACTTGCTCTTGTTGATTACTTCTTCCCCTTGAAAATAAACTTTACAAGCATTCTCAGTACTCTTCTTATTAACACTACATAGAAGACAAAATGGGAAAGGGGTCATATCTCAATATATTGATTTCAACTGAAATTTTCTACATTATCTAAGTCGCATCACTTACATATGATACACATTAAAAAACTGCACAGAATGATCTCTGTTTTCCTACAGTCACACAACTAAAGTTTCACCACTGTGGGTGTGGGTAAAAAACTAGGTCGTTTAGAAGGAGGAAATTTATTTGGAGCTGACAGAGTAAGGAAACCAGGTTTTTTAGTTGCTCCTGTGTTGCTTGGTTTATATCCTTGATTACTCTGAGAAGAACTACAACTGCCAAAGGAGGCCCTACTAGAATATGAAGAGCCTTGACAACCTCTGTATGATGTATTATTGTTTCTAGAAAAGAATGCCACATCTTAGATTAATAAGACTAACAAATCTATCAATTCAGTGATCTCTCGTATTAAAAAATGAAATCAAAACTGTAAAAATTGTAAAGTTAGTAGCCAAACTCTTCACCTTTGTCTACTCCTCCCAGCTTTACTGCGACCTCTTTTAGCTGGTCGACCTCTTTGAGAGTTGCCTCTTCTTTTCCGTTTTTTCCCACCCTGGTATTTTGAAGGTATAAACGATCCAGTACTTCCACTGGCCACAACACAAACATCTCCTTCGTTACCATCACTTTCATCTCCATCAATAGGGGTGTTGTTCTGGCTTTCTGCTTCTGCTTGTTCTGAAAGAACAACTGGAGGAAAAAAAATAATTATTACACAAGTTTTAATTGCATGACAATTATTTATTTAAACAAGTAAATATATTAATCACCTAATTTTTGTACAGCATATTGGATTGTCACTTCCAATAATGGCTTTCCAAACTTTTCAAAGTTAGCAACTGTTACATGAGGAATGTCCAGCATTTCTTCACTAGTTTCAGGTAGTCTTTCAGACATTGCCTTAACAGCCTGTGTAAAAAAAAAAAAAAAAAAAAAAAAAAAAAAAAAAAAAAAAAAAAACCTCAATTCACAAATAATGTCTTGAACTGCATTTTTCTTAATACTCCAAATCATAATCAATCATATACAACAAAAATGATGATTAAAGAGGTTTTTATCATGCTACAAAGCTTCTGAATTATGAATGTCAATTTGTCAATTTCTCAGCACTCTTTTGCCTCAGAGACCTCAACAGACCGATTGGTGCATGTCAAGCTGATGATAACTTATTGTTTAACTTAAGGTTGGTTAACTTATAACTATAGCTTGTGATAACTTATTTGATTCAACCAGATCTAATTGAGCAAGAAGTTCAAGAATTTTGGTGCTTCAACTAATCACAGCATATTCTGTGACCTAATGAGAGCTTTACAAATGCTCCATGATACTTAATCTAAATATGTAATTAAACTCAAAATATACCTCAACATTCATGACTGAACTTGGACCCACACCGAGTGATGCAGCAAGCCCATGGCACACATCCATTAGATCTGCATAACATTTCTCTTGAATACTTTGCAACCTCTCTGTAAATGGATTTTCAGAAACAGGTGCACTCTTCCCAGCAGAATTGATATCCAACATTTTCCTCCGGGTGAACAATTTAATCTGAAAAGCCACAAACATTCAATGAATATTTAAAAAAAATCAAAAACACACCTTTCCTTGAATGATGAGAAAGAAAAGACGAGTACATCTATGGCAGATGATCATAATTCAACAGTCTATCTTTTTGACAGGGTTTGTGGCAGCACAAGTTCTAGATTCAAAGAGATTATCCTCTTATCAGTGTTCTTTCTTCTGATCTAATAATTATTATTTCTTTCTGGCAAACTAGCATATTAATAGGAATCCGAAAAACTATTAAATACAACATAAGAAATTATATTATTAGTTATTTTGAACTGAAATTATGAAACTGGAAATAAATTAATTCTTATAAAATTCATATTCATGAAAATCGGTAAAGTAGGTTTTTTGTGTGTGTAGACACCGAAAAGATTAATACTGTTCCGAGACATTAGTGATAAGTAGGAGGAGAATTTTGAAGATGTAAAACATTGCCAAAAGTGATCAATAAAACGTCTTCAAATTCTTTAAAAATGCTCTAAAAACAGAAAAATTATGTAAAAAATTTGATCAAAGCCATTTCAGATGAATAACTCAAGCTGTTGGATATGTTACTGATTTAACTGAGACTTCTTCCTTTTGTTCAAGTGAACTCAGCTTGCAAGACTTTCTTTTAAAGAATAGCCCAAACTCAAAATCTCTACCTTTATTTATCGCGAAATCAGTACATAGCTCCTAAACTAAGCACTTTTCTTGGGAAGCCAAATAAGAACAGGTTACTGAAGATAAGAAAATCTCAGTATGGTTACAAACAAAAATAATTATATCTGGTTTCTTGAAGTGAAGTGAAGTGTTAATGCACTGATTTGTGCTCATCTGAAGTCAAGTGAAACATTTGTAAGAGAGCATGGACATGGGAATTACAGGTTGGCATTTTGCTGGTAAATTCAAAAAACTAGAGATTGGTATTCATATCTTATATAAAACTTGAAATCAATCTGTATTAGACTAATTATTTTAATGATGAAGGCAATGTTGATTATAATTGTGTGTAACTAGCTCAAATGATGTAAAAAAACACATTGACAATTGGAGCTTCCCAGGGGAAGAAAAGTTATCATTGGTATGGTGCAAATGAACGTAAGAAGAGCTCCTAAAATTCAACCTATATTTGCCATGATGTCAGCATTATAAAAACATGAGGTGGAAAGTTACTTCCTCTACCATTGAAGTAATTAATTTCGCACTTCGTCTATCTTCTGAAATGAATTCATTCTAATCGCTATTTTGAAAACAAATTCTTTGTTATTAATTCATATTATTCAGAAAGGTCAAGTAAGTAATACAGAGATTGGAACATTCACATTAATGTTAATAAAATAAAATACTTTTTTTTTTTTGTAATGACCTGTTATGGTTCTCAATAAAGATTCTTTTTTATGCACAAATGTATTTTTGATCCTCTAGCTCCCTAGTTCTTACATAGCCCATTACAGCACAGCTCATTAGAAAATATGAGTTCCACCTGGAACGTCGTGGCTCAGTTTGCAGCGATGCCCTGAAGAATATAGGCTTCTCAGTTTTCACTTTCTTCCTAATGACCTCTGCAGACAGTGCTCCTTATTACCCATCAATTTCTACAATTATCAATTATATCTGCAAAATTTAAAAAAAACCTGTTTTGTTTCTCATTGCTATCTAGTCCAAGACATGCTAGTACACTTGGTTTCCCATCGATGATGTTGGCAGCACTACCACAGACAGAACCTGCCTCCCCCAGAACCATTGCGCAGTATCAAGAAAAAGTGTGCATATAGTAGTTTAGATCTTGTTTCCTATTATTTATGTCTAAAAACAGAAAATGAAAAATACTAGTGCCGTTCATTTGTGTGGGTTATCTTTTACTACCAAGACCAAACATACACAGTTATGTACTTCATAAAATTTTCTCAAAAAGTGAAAGTCGTATCAACATATTTTTTAACAAACCTTGTTTGGCATCACTTTCTTGACAAAATTAAATTTAAATTTGTTCCATCCCTAAGCAAAAATCATGATTGAATAATGGACTGAATTGTATTTTTAGGGCCCAAACATGGAGACCGCTTCGAGGACTTCATAAGGGTTAATCTGGGTGTTTGCCATTAGAAATGAAAGACTAGATAGTTTTAATACATTTCGAATACCTTTTAGGTCAATTGATAAATCCACCAAGTGCATGACATACTATCTCTTCGAGAATGATGTTCTGGTGACAGAAATTGCAACAATAACCTTAAATGAAAATTTTGCTTAAGCTCATGATTCTGTGAGTGTGTCAAGAAAAATAACTATCAGCAATACTTCTGCAGATAGAGATCCATGTGGAAATAACAAAGCCAACAAGGAATTGCGGTTAAGTAGAGGATACAGTGCTAGCCAACAAAACCTTGAACAATGTATACCAACAGACCGTAACAGTCACTAGTAATGTTTATTATATGGATATTTGCAATAAATCAAGAATTATCGATGACAAATTTATATTCTTTGTTACAATTTAATAAAAATAAACAAGTATAAAGGGTTGAAATTTGACTTACTTTGTGCTTGCTTTCCAAGAGGTACTTTGCTTTTGGGCCTATTCTTAAATAAGCAGCTGCCATGTCTGCTTTTGTAATGACCAGTTCCTCGCATAAATATCCTTTCAAAACTAACTGTCGAATTAAATTTGTGACATCTTCACGAGGCCATGATTTACCCATTCCATGCAATGGAAGTGAGTCATGCCCTGCAACATAATTCAAGAGATTAGTTCTAAAGAAAAACAAAAGAAAAAATCATGAAAGAAACCACTATTTATTAACCAGATTAAAAAACTAAATAATGCAAATCTATATGAAAGAATATACATGTAAATATCATACCAGGGTGGATGTGTCTTTGACATAGTCAATACTTCTTCAATTTCACCCCGGAATTTTAATTACAACCAAGTTGAAAGTTCAAAAAAACCAACCCATACTGAGAATAACTTTCCTATTTTCTATAAAAATTAAAAATTGTTCATCTGATTTGAGTATTACTGGATTACTTACAGGATGAGATGAAGTTACAAATAGTAAAATAGTGAGATTAGTTTCCCGAAAATAGTCGGTAGTCATTTGGGAAAATAATATAAATTACTAATTGACATAGAAAATAGTTTTTATAATAATGAAAATTCTAATTATTTTCAGCATGAATTCCAAAGAATTAGAAAAAAGCATTTTAAATTATTATTATTAAAAACAATGTAATTAAATATTCATAAATGAAGAGCTAGTTTCAAAAAAAGCAATCCTTACATTTTTCTGAAATGGAGTTATTAGTATTATGACTATTTTGGCACTGAATTCTACCCACGGGTTTCTTAAAACTTTGCTACATAAATCACTTGTAATTTCTGAAAGTGATAGCAGTATATTGAACAAATAAAATATGGATAATCAAAATCATATTGTAATTAAAAACTTGAGATATTTAACTTTTCATATAGCCAGAGAAAGCCAAACCAATATTCTATTAGAACAAACCTAAGAATGTCCAAGTAGTTCCTTCATACTCAGCAGTTTCCAAATTTTAAACGAAAATTACATAATCTCAACATTGTTCATTGAATAACTGTTAAAGGAATGTGAATATATCAATAAAAATAATAGTATAAACCAATAATAAATTGTAGAACTCAAAAGGAAATCAGTCAAATGAGTTTTGGCCTCTGCAGAAAAATCGTAAAAACTAGAAATTAGTGGGATGTAAACTATCCACTTCATTTTATATTCAGTTACAATTATTCTACTTTTTTTTCCTTTGAAAAAAAAGGAAGAAATTAACCAAGAGTTCCTTTCAATGAAGACACTCGCCAAACTGACACCAGTGTTGATTGAAATTTAAATTTGGTGCTTCTTGATAGGAGGGGAGCAAAACAGGAACAGATACGAGTGTGATAGAGAAAGAGATACACAAAAATTTCATGATTTCTATTAATGTGGAACAACTGCTGGTAGTGGGAAGACCTCACCCCTTGACCTTGACTAGTAGATTTTTACTTTCTCGCATTAATTAAGTGGAATAGAGGATGTATTGAAATGTTGAAAAAAAAGAGCAATTTTCAGAGAAAAAAATTGCATTGTGGGGGTCCTTATATTGCAAAAGTAAAAATATCAAGTTGTTACTTATAGTAAATTACTTCCTCTAACACCTTATGTAGCCAGAATCCATGTTTTGTGTCTCTCTTGAACAAAAAAAATTGGATGATGGCAAATCATGTCTGTCCCTCTGTGCTCAATACTAGCATCTGCATCACTTAGACAATTTTCTCTAAAATTGATATTCCTTCATTGATCTGGCTGATCTTGCCCTACAAGACCTGAGGCCCTGTGAGTTTCAATAGGATATTTTGATTTTGAGGGGTACTTTTGGCACAAAGTACAGAACAACTTCAAAATTTGCTCAAAAAAGGAACAAAATTTTCCCTCAGATAGAGCCAAGGACATTTTAAAAACAGGTCTCATTTTATTTGACCTCTGAATTTTTGGAAATAGCAAAAGTTCAAAAATTATTCTGCTTCTATAACCACAATATTGAAGATTTTTTTATTTTTATAATAAGTTCTAATAATAATCTGTTCATCAAAGACAGATCTTTCAATAAATCTTGTTTTGAAAAATGAGTAGTTTTTGCTTTAAGTAAAGGCAATTTATAAAATAAATTCTCAAAAATAGTCCAACATTTTTTCTTTAATCTCTTTCCTTGGATAGAGTAAAGGACACATTAAAAATTATGCAGGCATCATTTTCATTAAACTCTGAATTTTCAAAATATTGCAAACAGAAACAATCCGAGAAAGTATGTGTATAATGTGAGAAAGAAAGTGATGCACCACTAGTTTCTACCGTGACAGTAATTATGGAGCATTAACATGAAAGGTAGACTACACCTTCTGTAATTTCCCTGCTGGTGAAATTGTAGAATTTCACGGCCGGATTCAATAGGTACTTTTTGAATCCGGGCAAAAGGCAAAGGCACATTTTGGTTGTCTTGGTGTAACTTTCCTCAAGGTGAAATGGACTGCGCACAGGTTTAAATTATATTATCCCCAGGGAAGACCAGTGGGGAATGAGTAGGGTAAATGATGCTGTGAAAACTATCAAACCCCAAAACCTTAATGCCGACCAAGGCCTACGTCTACACGAGACCCAGAAACTTCTATTTTACCATGACACCCAGTCCCATGATGGCACAGTACCCGTTGTTCCAGGACTGCCGGCCATGAGTGGACTCCTTCTCCCACCCTGCCCAGGGGGCCCATTGCTTGTCGGAAGCTTTCTTTGCATTGACCAATTGTTCAGCCAACCAGCTGGTGGGCGGAGAGGAACCTCATTTTATATAATCCTGCATGTAGTCTGTCTTTGCGCTTTTTACTCTGAGTAAGGTCATACTGTGACGGCTGAAACATTGACATCTCTGCCTCAGACGTGGCATCTCCCAGACACCTCAGTACATACATATTCCCCTGTCATTGCCTTCGCTTAACTCTCTTTGTTAAACAGTTACACTTTCTTACAATGGTCTTTTGTAACTCCTCTCCCACTTTCCAAGTTCATGTGTTTGTTTGGTTGTCCAGTCTTTCTTTCGAAATGTTATTCATAGTTTCTTCATTGATCGTCCCTGAGTCTGAGTCTGCATTGATGTTTTTTCTCAGTGTATCTACCTTAGTTATTGGCAAATTATTCAACTCTTTAATACTCTGCTCTATAACTCTACTCATTAAAACTTAATTAATTATTTTATTTTTTGTAAGAAAGTGAATTTGTGACTTTTGGCAGAAGTGAGGGTTGTCAAAAAAAGGGGTGTCCAAAAAATGTGAGAGAAGGGAGTCACTGAGAGCACTGTATGAGGTAAAAGAAATTTTAACTATATCAAAATAACAGCTATCCTTACGTTCATCAGAAAATGTTACTATTTCTCTGACCATCCAATTCTTGCCCAAGAGACAAAGTCAAACAAAAAAAGTAAATAGTACTTAACAGTTTACATAAAGATTTTCAAAATGATTCAAATGACTAATAATTCCCTAACTTTTTCATTTTCTTTAACAAGCCTATTTGTTTCCTTTTCAGGCCAAAGGCCTGTTCTCTTTTATGCCAATTATGAGGGGAGAAAGGATGGGACATACTCTCCCACAGTGAAATAGTTAGGATTGAGAGAGGACTTTTTCATTTCCTTCCCAAATTACATTTTTCATAATATTATTAATTTAGTTTTCAGTTATTTGATATACTACATAGAAAACAAATAATTTTACCTGCCGTTTTTATTTTGCTTGCTTGACTGCCTTTGATAATATCAGCTAGGTAGAGAATGGTAATATTGCGATCACTCCAGCCTCGTCCGCCACTAATAAGCTGACTAAGGCAACGTACAATTTCTTGCCCTTGTTTTGTATAGTCAGTTTCATGGAACTCATCGGAACGCAGACAATTGTCACAAATGGTATTTTGTTGTTTGAGACATTCTTTTTTATTATATATTTCTCCAAAATAACTTAGTTGTTGCACTCTTCTACATTCCGTGTTGTTCTCACAATATGCTACGATTCGAGCTAAATTTTCTAGATGTGTGAGTAAAACATCAGAACCATTAGATGATGATGCTCTTCCACGATGACCTGAGTCTGCAGCACCTCCTTAAAAAATAAATTCACATAGTTTTCTATGTTTAAATTTAATAGCTTGAAATAATTTCATTTATCTTACTTTCAATTAAACGTCGAAGTCTATACGAGTCCGAGTAATTGTAGAATAGAATACATCTGGCAGGCTTGCCATCTCTACCGGCTCGACCAGATTCTTGGTAAAGGCCTTCCACAGACTTTGGCATGGAGAGATGAATTACATATCGTACATCAGGCTTGTCAATGCCCATGCCAAATGCAATGGTTGCACACACAACCTACATTTAAAATCAGAAAAAAGTATTAACTTTTGAAGCCCAACAAAACAACTTATATGAAAAGTTACAATATTAAATAGAATTAGGGTATCCTGGAGTAATAGTAGAATGAGGTAAGAGAATATGATAATTACTTCTAAAACTGACTGCAAAGAAGACCTATGTCCCAAGATGTAGCTCTCACTAATGTTCATATTTAAGACACAATTATTAACAAACAAGAGCTGAAAACAAATCCATTTACGGAAAAGATATTGTCCTCAAATAGAGCTTCAGTAAAATCAGTCTAAGCCGGAAATGATCAGGACACAAAAAAAACACTCTGGTTTAGGGAGGTTTCTATTTTATAACACTTGTGACATTGATGTTTCTGCCCTAAAAGTAGCAACTTACATTACTATTATAATTATCAAAACGCATGAACGTATAACGTATTTATGGAATAAATCACCAATAAATGAATATTAAACACTCTTCATTGTCAGCTTCTGAGAAAACAATTCTCACCTTGCTGCCTGTATTCAGACAGCTTGCTGACTCATTCAACACACAATGATTCACAACCCAGTACTATGACTTTCTGACATCCTCACATGACCTTGGGGGCTGAGGGGTTTTGATTTTCAATGCAGGGATATGTGTGAATAGAAGCCACGACCTTACACCTTCCTATGCTCAGAGATGGGAGAGAGGGAATTCCCCTACCACCTATGCCTTGAGACACACGTGTCCCCAAGGACAAATTCTACACAGACAGCTGAAACTCATTCAATGTTCGTCTGTCACCTCTAAATTGCATGATACAGGGACAGAGAATTTAAAACAAGCTTGCAGATACATTCATTTCATTAAGAACATCTCGCATATCTCTGTGAATTGCATTAAATTCATTGGAATTCCTTTTATAAAGATTTTTCCCCCCTGCAGGACATGAATAAACATTGTTTCTGCACTGGAGAGATTCCGGTTTATGCTCTGTAAATTGCCATTTAACTACAGAGGGCAAAGAAATTTACCAGTTAAGGCAGGTTTACACTTTGTTCAGGTTTTGGTTTAGACAGATTTTATTGTATTTTACTAACATAGCATATTATATAAAGTAGTTACTAGAAACTGGAAGTGTATTTCTTATTATCCTATATGGAAAACAAGAAAAATCAGTCAATATTTTTGATACAATATGTTTGCTGAACCAGATATATACTGGCAATTGGTGTCTATAAGATTTGGGATCATTTTATATTAACTTTCTCTTACCCATTTGTGTTACTTTACATCATGGTTCCTATTTCTAAATTATGGTTGCACAGACAATATTACTGATTCCGATGCAAGATAATTTTGTATTCATTTCTCCAAAAAGTTGATTTGATTATTCTCTAAAAATACGAGCTGATATTATTGAAAAATAAAAACCAATATATTTACCTTTATTTTATTGCTAATCCACATATTCTGCACACGTGCACGTTCTGTATCTCGAACACCTGCATGGTATGTTCCAGCTTTGATTCCTGCTTTGTTTAAACTGTCTGTTGTAGTTTCACATTCTTTTTGTGACAAGCAATAAACAATACCACAATCTCGAGGAAATTTGCTTTTAATTAGGCTGATGATATCACATACAACTGTTTTCGGTTTCTTTTCAACAACTTCATATTGAAGATTTGGTCGATTGAAGCTGCATATAAACCTACAATGTTCAAGGTTTCTAAGTTAATATTCATCTTGTATATTTTCATCACAGATAAACTTAATGAACATTAACAGTCGCACCCGGGATGGGTAGTGGGTGGGGGTGGAGGGGGGGTTCAAGGCAAAGATGTATCCCAGCGTAGTTTTTAAATTTACTATTGTTTAGGCAAGGTGTCACAGTTTCACAGTTTGGGACTCATTATTAGAATCTTTTTTAATCATATATTGGTTTTGTCTTTCAATTCTTATCACAAGTTTCCAAAACAATTCGAAACCATCACTGTGTCTTATCACTTCATTGAAACTCTGATGTTCTTACAGCCAGGCATGCATTTAATCACTATCATGTAGAGAACAGTTGCATCTGGAGCAAAATAGTGAATGTTGGACTAGTCCTTAAAAACAGAACATAGCAATCTGTGAGTCTGCAGAAAGAATCCCAATACAGAAAATGTTCACAATATATTTGGGCTTGCAATCTCTCCAAAACTGAAAATAATTTAGCACAAACTCGCTGAAAATGATTGTGATATATTGCTAAATTCATGCAAAATTAATGCATTCTTAAGTTCTTAAATATATTTTTAATTATATAAAATTGTTCTAATATTTTGCAATTTTTTCTAGGGTCAGCCATTGAATCCTATTGGTAATCCACCTCCCTATTGGTAATCCCTGGGTAATATGCACAAATTTTCTTGATCAATGGCTTGGAGTTAAGCAGATAGGGAGGATATTTGTTAGCAGGTCAAGTATATATTGAAATCAGCCACTAGATATTACAAAGCAATACCAATCCCTGGAAAGCCACTCATGCCCTCGCAACTTTTTCAATTTTGAGTGTATCTGCTGTGAAGAATTAGGACCTACTTTGGGCATTTCTTTAGATTTCTTAGAAAAAAACATGAACAGGAGTTCTCGTCTTCAATAGCCAATAGTTTTTATTTTGCACCAACGAAGATGTGTATGGAAGGTTACCATCAGTGCTCACTTTAAGCTTTTACCTTCAACTTTCTATTGTGGCAGGGAGGGAGAAGGTAGACAAGAAAAGTTGCATGGATAATACAAGAATGGATCTGACATGCAATGTTAAGAGAATGAGAACATACCATTTGGTCTGTTTCATACCCAATTGATGGAGAATATCTATTCGAACCCGCTCTGTAGCAGTTGCTGTTAGAGCCACTACCGGTATATCTGGATATTTGCGGCGCAACTCATTCAATCTTTTATAATCAGGCCTGGAAATAGAGTAATCATGATTAAAATCAATTGAATCTATTAGAAAGAAAAAAAAGGGTTTTTGATTTCATTGTCTGTGTTATTAGTTTATAAAAATAATTTAATTCATATGAAATTTTATTTCAGACAGTTAAGACAAATTCTTGGGAAGAAAATGTACTACTTGAAGCATGACAGTGATGTCACCATTCTGAGTAAAATATTAATAATGTAACAGACAATGTAAATTTTTATGAGCTATGAAGGCAAGGAAAAAAATAAAAATCAATTTTATGAGCTTGCTCTCTATTTTTTGTGTGCACAACACTTGGATTTGGATTTGATACAATACAAATCGTGCACATGAAAAACAAGAGGCAATCATTTTTTATTAACTTGAAATTTTTGTAATCAAGAGTATCCTCTACGGGAAAGTTGAATATCATTCACCCAACGTAAGGCACGGAAATGAAATACAGTTATCAACTTTGCCTGTGATTCTGGGTAAACTTTGAATTGTTCACTAACATCAAGGTGGACAATAGATGCATACTTTCGGGATCTACAGATCTGTAGAGAATAAGATTAATCATTAGAGAGAAGAACAATTGAACGTGTAAAAAAAACTTTCTAAATTTCTTCATTAAAAAAATAATTTTTGAGTTATGCATAGTTGGGCATGTAGGAGAGGAGAACAATCAAATGTGTAAGAGAACATTCTAAAATTCTTTATATAAATTATAGGAGCTACAACAATACCAATTTTCTAGATTTATTGGTAATGGTTACATGTTATAATATTGCAACTTTTATTGAACTAATACTTTAATCACTTGAAAAAACTCATACAATATGAAATCAAAATTACATGAAAATTGTAGTTGGCAAAAAGTATCAATATTCATGAAATGATTCCAAGATCTAATATTGAGGAATAGATTGTATTAAGAATTAAATCACTAGCTTTAATATTGAGATGAAGGCCTGGTAAGAAAAAACTGAACTTTGCCCTGATATAACTCAAAATTATGGGGAAAATATCAATATTTCAAAAATTTAACAAAGTAAACGAAAATTTAATATTGGGTTATAGATTGAAAGAAGAAAGAAATCTTATCTTTAATAGTATAATTGTAGAAGGGTGCCAAAGATATTTTGACCTTTTGCAATTTTCAAAACTGAGATTTTTAATGAATCATCGCTCTTTGGATTAATAATTTAAAGCAAAAATGTTGAGATGATTTTGAGAAAATCTGGTTGATGATTTTTTTTCTTTCTCCTTTCTATATTTTGGTCAAGTTTCACTCAAAATTAAGTGAAAATTGCTCACATCTTCAAAAATTTGTATGCGATATTTTTTAAAGGTCATAACTTATTTTGAAGAACAGATTTTATCAAGAATAAAATCTCTTTTCAATAATGAGGTTGTAGGAGAGGGTCCAAAATTTTCAACTTTTGAAATTTCAGAGGTTTTAATGAAAATCTATTTCAATGCTAGCAATTTTTGTATGTGTACTTGACACAAGCAAAATATTTAAAGTTAAAGCTTTGAGATATTTTTGAGGCAATCTTAGTACAGTACTAGGGACTTCAAGTAAAGAGTGTCTCCCAAAATTAAAAGATGTTGAAGAAGAAGAAGAAGATGAAGATGTTGAAGATGAAGATGAAGATGTTGAAGAAGAAGACGAAGATGTTGAAGAAGAAGACGATGTTGAAGAAGAAGACGAAGATGGTGAAGAAGAAGATGAAGATGTTGAAGAAAAAGATGAAGATGATGAAGAAGAAGATGAAGAAGAAAAAAACACCACCACCACTTTATTGGCATTATCTCTGATAGCCCCTGACATTCTCTGAAATAAAAAACTACCTTTGTTTTCTATGTCCACAAAAAAAGTAAAATCAAAGCCTTCAACGGAACAAAATGTACATTTGTGGAAAAAACAGACAAACAGAAATTCTTTCTGACACCTCATATATAAAACTTCATTGGGAATAAGAGGTGAAAAAGGGAACTTTATAAGTAACAAATATATATGATTATGGGCTTTACTTAATACACTCTTTTGCCACATTTCTTTTGAAGCCAACTGTACCACAACTACTATATAACTGAAAACAATGAGAGTACTAGTAACCTACAAAGAAAGAATCCTGGAAAAAAGCATAATTTCCTAACTTTTCAAACAATGACAAAGTTCATAACATTTATGGTGAGAACCATAACAAATATTCTAATACCCAAAAAAGAGAAATTAATAAAGTAAGTATAATGAAACATTCTCTTTCAATTCACTGACATGTAGTATGTCAAGAGAGCAACAAATATCTTTGTTCAGAAATTTTTTACCATCTTGGTTTAAAGGGAAAAATAATTTAAGATAAATAACAATAACACTCAAATATTCTAGAACAATTACCTGAAGTCATGACCCCACTGGGACACGCAATGGGCTTCATCAATTACAAAACGAGCTATCTTACCACGACTATATAGGTTTTGTATTGCATCCATGCATCTATTGCTACCAATTAGCTTCTCAGGAGTGACGTATAACAACTTTAATTCTGAAAATTTCAAATTTAAAAACTATAAAAGACCTTGTTTACAATCAAACTATTATTGCACACAATATCAGAAATAAATATAACAAGTCCTGGATGCACTGACAAAAAGAATGCATTCCAACAAACTATTTATTAATAACACATTTTGATAATAAAACACAACGATATTGATTTTTAACTCAAGATGTTTGTCTGAAAACTGTTTTGTAAAATTGATTTTGGTTCTCAAAATCTTCAGTCTCTCTTAAAAATGTTTAGAGCTTGTATGTAATTTCTATAATTTAATACAGTGAAATAGTTTTTTAATGAACATTTTGTACTCTTCAAAATTAGAGTAATCAAAGTTCCACTAATGTCACAGGTTTTTCCACATGACAACTCAATTTAAAATCTATGTTATGCAGAGATATCTTTATTTTCCATAGTATTTCAGATATTCAAAATCAATTCTTGTCCTGAACTTTGTAACACTTTACCATCGTTGTTCAAAAATGACCATTATCTTTTAATGAACAATGGTTTGTATTTTTAAGATCAGAAATACTCCTGGAAGAAACCACTTTAAGGAGAGCAGCTGTCACAAGAACAATGAATAAACCCAATTTGCTTAAACAACCACTTTTATATTTCACAATTCAGTTCTACTCAGAAAACCAGAAGTTATCCCAAATATTATCCTGTATCTCAACTTGCATGTCCTTTCATTAATCACAGTTAATCTCTTCCAGCCTACCATTTGAGAAAGTGAGATGCCATTCCATGTTTCTCGATCTGTTGGGGAATTAACCATTTTCTAGATTCTTCCAGAACATTCCATAGAGTTCTCAAATAAACATGTTTTTAGAGGATTTAAATATCTAAAACAGGCTTCGGGGATTTAAGGCACCTATGAAGGTGATCAGTGGGTAATTATGTCCTCTCAACAATATACCTAAGTTTGCACTATTTGCAGTTGGAATATTCTGAAAGAATTCAAACAAAAACACATTGTTTAGGTTTCAAAGCACCTATAGTGGTTAAATGCTTGTAAATTATAATTTCTGCTTTTCTGGCATAACTAGTCATTATGATTTGATTAATCAGATTGAAAATAATCAAACCTTATTACGTAACAAATCATATAACAAATCTTCAAAAAGTATTTTTATTGGCACTTTTTCTTGTCATTTACCATGCCAAGAATGGATGAGCTTGCGAACTCTATTATGTTCAAAATTTATTTTTATTATAAAAACTTTTATATCACAAATAAAACATTTTAACATAAAAATATCCACTAAAGATACAATGTTAAGCTACTTGAATATATTTCTGGATCATTCTCCTTAAATTGTATGAGCCTATGAAACATAGTTTCTATTTAAATTTCAAAACAAAAGCTTTTTAATCATGCTGAGAAAAACTGAAGGTATATAACACACATCAATATCATTTATCAATTAATAAAACACAATCCCATAAAAAAAATTGATTTGAATCATTGCATCTTCAAAAACTCACTGAAAAATAATGTACGCATTAAAAATTGTATCAGATAAAGAAATTGTATTCTTTACTTGGTTCTCTCATTGACAAGCGAATATAAATATCATTTTCTTCTTTTGCATCACCAGAAAGACGTCCAGCAGGAATCTGGAATGAAAAAACAAAAAAGCAATCATAAAAAAAGTCCAACTTCTAGTTGCAAATGTAATAAATGATTTGGGACCTTACATCTAAGGCATTCAGCTTTTGAACTTGATCCAGGATTAATGATATTAATGGTGACACTACTATTGTAACGCCAGATGAAATAACAGCAGGAAGTTGATAACACAGCGATTTACCCCCTCCAGTTGGCATCAGAATGAAGCTATCATGGTTCAAAAGAATAGCATTTATTGCTTGCAGTTGACATGGTCTAAACGAATGCAGACCAAAAACTTCACGAAATGCCTGCATGAAATAAATATAAAATAAGAACTGCAATAGTCAAGAAACTTACAGAATACACAAACATTTTGTTTCACCTTAAACATTTCTTTTGAATGAGGAAAATCAGTGCCACTAAATTCTCCAGAAATACCATCATTTTTTGTACTTGATGAAAATTTACCAATGAAATTACTCTCATTGACAGATGAAGGTAATGTATTGCTAGTATTATTTTCAGATTCACTTAGGTTACTGTCACTGGCAAGAGTCATTTCATTGTCATCTTGTCTGCGATACTTAGATTTCATTTCCATATTACTGCCAGTATTTCTTGGGAAAGTTACAGGCTTACTCAAAAGATTCTCTACAAGTAATAATAAGAGAAAAAAAATTTTGAAATGTTATTGTCTTCAATATTTAATAATTCACAAAAACATTTTAATGACACTCACTTTCAGGAGAAGCAGGTTCTATACTATAGTCTTCCAGAAACTGAGAATAATCAATTTCGTCTTCTATTTCCTCTTCTATCAAAAATTTATTTGCTGTTTTTGCAGTTGCTTTATTTCCTTCACTTTTCTTCTCAAAGACAGACTGAGTAATATTTCCTGTAAATAATACTGTCACTACATTGAACGTTCAGTTTGTATTCTAGAAAACACTGATTTATACGAGAACATACTCTGTAAAACAAAAAATAAATAATGAACAAGAGCACATATGTTTGGGTTCATACAGTGTGGCCAACAAAATCAATAACTATAATTCCTGCACATTTCCATGACTTTCATTCAAACAATTTAAATTTATTTCCCGACATCATGCATTACAATTACATGATCTGGTTAAGAAATTGTCAATTAAGATTTAATTCTCTTCGTTTTAACTCTCTTTAATTAATATACAACATGCTTGTATTTTAAATCGATTATCACATTGGTATCATTCAAATCAATTATGTTGTCACATTACATAAGTATGTGAAAAGAAGACTGGTGCTTCACTTCTACTGTAAGCTCCTTTTTCATTCAAGACGCATGTTGAATAACAGCGATGAAGTAAATGCAACAGGTCTCTACAATAACTGCAACTTATTTTAAAATACATTTAAGTTCCTTGACATGTAACAAAATTCAAAGACTTCAGCAGGCCATTTTTTAACAGGTAAAAGAGAGAACAAGTTCAGACAAGTCTCATGAAGGCTTTTTTTACAATGTTAGTGAATTATGTTAATTGCATATAAAAATCATTGTAAATACACAAAAATTTCCCCACAACATTAAAACAGTTGTTTCTGAATTCTTCTTTTAAGAAAGTATAAATAAAATTCCAGTAACTAGAACAGACAGTCAGCCAACTAATCATTTTTAGCACTATTACTTATAGTTTATTATTCATGAAATAAGAGAAAACAAAAGAATATGAATGACTAAGTTCTAAATAATTCCGATTAACTTTTCGGACTGACAATTTCTATTGTCTTTCTTCTGATTTTCGAGTGGCTCATAACCTCTCATACATATTTATATAGATAACATTAACTTTTATTTAGTAAAACAGATCAACCAACAGTGTAACCAGAACAAACCATTAGCCACAACAAAATAATTCATTGCTTAGTCTGGAAGAATAAATTGTCATAAAATTCATATCAGATGACAGTGTACTGAACTTAATTTTTCTAATTTTATGACACAGTCAATCAAATGCCATTTATGTACTATGTAATAAATGACAGAAACAACAGGACAGAATATTATGCTAATGCTCTAATTCTCTGTAGGATGTAAATAAAAAAATAATTACTCACGAGCATTATTTTCAGACACATCCGTCCTTTTGAAAAGCGGAGTAGCCAACTTGTGCACAGGACTCTTGGTAGGTAGCTCAGGAATGGCAATGCTCATATTTGCACCATTTGCAGATGATAATGCTTCTGACAAACATTTTGGCTGTCGGTTAAGAGTTAAACTCTCAGAAGGTTTTGATATTGCTGGACTCTCTGCACTTTTGTCCTGAATTGCATTCTTTCCATGCGAGGACGGTCTCTTAAACACAAATTTACCTAATCCTGTTTTAGGAGTGACATTATTTACCAATTCCATTTCTTTACATGTAGGAGGTGTGCAATCTAAACTTGAAACGTTTCCTTCACTCTCACTGTTCAATGTACACCCCAACACATTTGACACATTACTGGGTTCACTCACTGACTTATTGGAATAACCAAAGGAATTACAAGCTGTAAAAATGTTAGAATTAATACACTTCTTCTCTGGTGACCAAGAACATTGTAAATCTTGTTTTAACTGCAAATATTCATTCTGTGCTTTTACAGGAGCATTCTTTAAAGGTGATCTTCCACAATTATCATATTTATCAGAAGCAATTACATTTTGAACATTAGCCGATGGAAATCGGTGGAAAGGCGATTTGTTTGTTCCATGAGGCTTGCTTACAGTACCTAGGACTACATCACAATCGCTAATAGTAGAACGTGTAACCGAGGTAGAACTTGCACTAAGCAGAAAATCTGCTTTTCTCAGACAATCTAATTGTTTCTCTTGATTCACTGACTTCTTAAATGATGCATCTTCCCTTGATTCTGTGAAATTATTAACACTTTCAGTCACTGGAGATATGTTTTCTAACAGAGAAAGTTCTTTGTTTACTTTGGAAACAAGCTCTCTCATTTTGTCATATGTAGGAACATCGAAGCCAGGCAATCTTTCTAAGAGCCGAGTAGGTATTGCTATGAAAGCATCAAACACTTTCCGAAGAACTGAATTGTTGAATTTTTGTAGTTCAATTTTAGCATTCATTGCCTCTCCTGGAGTATTTGTAGAAGGAACCTAAATGAAAAAATCATTATCACTCAAAATGTCATCTCCACTGCATAAACCATAAAGAACTGAAACCCACTTACATCTTTTTTAAGAAGCATTTCACCATGACTAATTAAACTGGAAAGACTACTATCAATTCCTAAGGGCTTTGCATATTCAAATGAATCTGGAAAGGCAAAAAGTGGTAGTAAATTTCAAATTTTAAATCTTAGCCCCCAATGTGCCAGTTACAGAAGGCCAACAGTTGGGAATTGGGAAAGAAAAAAAAAAAAAAAAAAAAAGGCGGACGTGTAGCATACGGTACAACCTAAGGAAGTCGTTTAAACCAGCACTTCGCGCCGCTCCGGCGAAGGGGAAATCCACGGTGGAGGGGACGAGGGGTGTTTAGGGAATTATGAGGGGAATCTTGGGGAGGAGTGGTGAGCAATATGCGTAACTTAGTACACACACACGCACGCACGCACACACACTCGCGCGCGCGCGCACACACACACAAAAAGCGTGAGAGTTTTGCCGGCGAAACCGCATATTGCTCACCACTCCTCCCCACGACAGATTCCCCTCATAATCCCCTAAACACCCCTCGCCCCTCCACCGTGGATCTTCCCTTCGCAGGAGCGGCGCAAAGTGCCGGTTTAAACGACTTCCTTAGGTTGTACCGTATACTACACTTCCGCCAAAAATTGTATTAGTTCCATTTGAAATTGACACTATAACACACAAATTAGGACTTTCTCTAACTAAAACTCTAAAACTGTGAAAAAATGTCCTTGTCTTCTAACAAGTGTCCTAAAACTTCCCTGATATTCCCGTTTTCCAGAAAATGGCCACCCTGCATTGTTTTCCCTTGAATATTATGTAAATTAAGTTTGAGACAATGAAATAGTACATTATAAAAAACTGATTGTGATTAAAAGACATTTGTTCTAGCTATGACTACAAATACATTTTTAGCAAGTCACATAATAATACCCTAGACAAATCCTGAAATGACTGCAGTTATAACAGTAATTGTCAAATGTTATTTCTTCATTATTAACATTATTACACTAATTGAAAATGCAACTTAAAAATATGAGCATTATAAATAATTTATTAACTAAGCCTCTACAGCAGTGGTTCTCAAAGAGCATGTTACCATTTTCATGGATGTGGTGCAAAAATAATTTAGTAATAAAACTATGAAGACATAAAATAAGCTTAGATTATCGAATATTATCATAATTTTATTTGATAAAGTTGGATTCATCAGGCTACCCAATTTTATTACGAACTGGCCACTTGAAAACTTTCTGGCAATATACAATTTTTGTAATTTTCAGTTTGAAGTACTAAAACAGAATGCTTTTTCTCTGCATTCTCTATGGGTGTGCTACAAGGAAAAAGGTTTGAGAACCAATGCTGTTGAATAACACAAAATTATCATGAAGACATGTTTTACAACAAATTGCAAGCAGAAAAAAAGCCAACCAAAGCAATAAGATACATTAATGAATATATTTCAGAAAATAAATAAATAAATTCATAGCGTATACATACCACTTGAACTATCACTACCAAAGAGGTCATGAAACTTTTCTTTTTTAACTTCTTTTACTTCGGATCTCTTTTGTTTATCAATGCCCCAAGAAACATTTTCATTTAATTCAGCACCATTTGTAGGATTTTTTATGGTATCTGATGATAAATCAAATTCATCCAGACTTGAAGGATGTTTATCTAATACATGTTTTATTTCCTAAACACACATAAAATATGGAAAATTAACAATAACAATAAGTTATTAACATAAGTTACATTACAATAAGTTATTAAGTTAACAATAAGTTATTAATGAAAGTTAATAATAACAATAAAGAAACCTCCAAATACACGAAAAAATAATTTGTACGATAGTAAATACTTTATCGTTATCCATAGGACTGAGCTGATATACATTTTTTTAACCAATCAAAGAAATGATCAAACCCTAAATATATAGAAATCTGCGAGCAAAGTGAGAAAACTTGCCTTTGAAAGTAAATGCGGCAGGGACAAAGCATATGAAAGACAAGTCATGAAAATCACATATCCATAAGTTTTATTCATTTCTATCAGAGCGCGTAGCGTCATTTGAGGGAGGGCTTAAGGAAACCCCTCCTCCCTGCTGCTACGCTTCTCTGAGGGTGTACTGTGTATCCTACTTTAACCTTGTTTTTAAACATTAAAAAATTAAACATGAAACAACTCCAAATTGTAAAATAATAATGTACATCAACATCATAACCATGATTTTCCCATGAAATACATTAGACAACAATAAGGTTATTTCTTTCTAACAATTTCTGGTTAATTATGCTAATAATTATGCAATTAAGCATTTACCTGGCTTCCCTTCTGAAGGTTCAGTTTCTGAGATGAGAGCACAGTACATTTTGCCAACTTATCTATAAACAAAATAATGAAATAATCAAAAAATAACAAAGAAACACAAAACACATTCTTCTGACTTCAGAGGAACTGAAATACCTTTCCTATCATTCTTATTGATTTTCACAGTCTTGGATTTTGGGCATTCTTCATAGCTATAGTTGACACTTTTCTGTGTGGAAGATTTCTTACTTCCCTTTGAACGATCACCTAAAGAAATGCAATGAAAGACCTGCAATTAAAATCGTACATCATGACACATTTTGATGGTAAGGAAAGTTAATCAAACTTACAAGAGACACTGGCAAAAGAGTCATCAAAATCGACGAAATCGTCATAATCGTCCCACGAATCCTTGCGTTCTGTTTTCATTTTCTGTTCACTGTAATTACTATTCATTAGCCAAAAATAGAAAGCATAAATTTAAGTTTAGATCCTTCTAGTCTATTCAAACGAGCACTATTTTCTATTTTGACACACACTAGAGAAATGTTGATAATGTCGATCCGAGGATTCACTTCTGAACTAACATTCACACACATTATTCGAAACTACCTCAGCACAACAGTTGTCCTGATAACTAGTTTTCATTCACTGGCACATGTCCTTCACACTTTTGTCTCAATGTGGGATAATCCATTACCATGAACATGTATAGCTTACATTTTTCAATATCTCACATTTACCGCCCATCTAATGACAACTTCGGTTCGTTCAGGGCCGGTTCACTCAATGTTAAAAGGCGGGGGACTAAGTTTGTTTCCTCACTCACCCGGACCGTTAAATTTATTTCCTGCTAAGTTAAGTTTTATGTATTATTTTTAGCAAAACTACCATTCTTGATATAATATATGATGAAACTATCTTCATAAATAACATAATGGCAGAAAGAGAGAACATGAGCCCTGGATAAGAGAGAGAGAATTCGAATTTTTACTCTCACAGATTTACCTCACTTGGCGGCAGCTCTAGACCGCAGTGTTGCGCTCGGCATGCATGTTTGTACCTGTAGGAGTGGAGAAGAGGTTTGAAGAGATTCTTGCAGGTGCGCAACGGACACATTGCAAAAGAATCTAGAGATTCATCGCACTTCGCATCAGAAAATTGTTAAGGACAGCGAAGGAAGAGACGTCATATTGATTTATGAAGCCAAGATGAGACACCCCAAATCCAAAACAAAAATTCTGTGCGGATTTCTACTATGCTGGTTTTAGATACAGCCATACAGTCCGGTTGAAAACAGAGATTTAATTCTATGAAAGCAATACTACTAATTATGTTTGGTTCCTGTATGACATATATATGTTTTGAAACAAAAGTACATCTCAAGAGGTACTTTAGCTCGAAGAATTTTGGAGCAGAATTTATAGCACAATAATGAAGACAAAGATATTGTCGGTGAAGAACGTGCTACGAATCTTTTGGGCGTAAGCGGAGCGCGCTTTCGACAAATCTTTACACCCAAAGAAGCTGCTTACATTTATACTGGCACGCAAAATCTGAATAAATGTACCGGAATGTCTTGCAATATCGGCTCTGAGGATTCTTCTAAAGTACCAGAATAGTGGCAAGTGGAGAACGTAGTTTTTCGAAACTGCACAACTCATAAAAATCATTTTTACACTCGCACAATGTCTGAAGAGAGACTCGCGTTAGCTTAGCTACTTGGTATCTATCGAAAC